TTGAGAGGCAGAGGAGAATTATTTTGAAAGAAAGTTTTTTATGTGTCTACTAAATTCAAAGCTATAAAGCACATCACTACAAATTTGTCTCGGCCATAAAAAGAATAAACATTGATTGATGTATAGTTTTTCCAGTCTGCTCCATCTCCACTGTCACGTATTCAGATGTATTACGTCTGCTAATCTTAACTCTGCTAAACAGTTTACCCCCAAGGTTTGTGACAGCATCTGCTCTCCCAAATTGGGTCCCTTTAGGTAAAGACAACATCTGCCTCTGACAGTGCCTGTCCCCCAAGTCTCCTCTCAGCTGCTGTATTTTGGGACCACTATTTGTCTTTGTAAAGGGGTACTTGCCAAAACAGCTTCATTCAAGAGATGTCCACGGCAGTTTGCACACTTGGAAGTTATAACCCAATATAAAAAAGTTACACTAGTATAACCAGTTGTGTATTTGTATAAATGGAAGTAACAAATTTATTATGCGTGCTTATGTTAGCTTCTTAGAGTCAGTTGTCAGTTGATAAGAGCTTTAATTGTACAAGCAAATAATACATTTTGAAGCACGATATATTGCTGAAGAAAATATAGACAATAAATGACCATATTGATAGTAATTTATGTCACTGACACAACAATGCAACAGCAGACTTAAACCACTAAAACTATTCTGAATGTATAATATTGCTAAGAAATCATGAGCTGCAATAAATAAACAGCAGAATGTAACACTTTAGCATTTAGCTTGCGTCTGTAATGAATTATAGAAGTTATTTATTCAACTTTCTGCAGCTGAAATCTCATCATATAGCCAAAAAATAGTCACTAATTTCCCAGTAGTAGAGAAGTAGTAGAGAAAATCTACACACGATAAATACTGACCACCAAAAAACATTGTTCCAGCTTTCATATACTGAACGATAAGTTAATTAAGTAATTATCATGACAGGCCTAATGGTAATGGCATGTGCTTCAGTATAATAAAACTTGATTAAACACACATTTAGGGTCAAGGTTATGCCACTTTAACATGATTGTTTACATTAAGAACATACATGACCTGCAGCCTGGATACCAATCATTCACATTTTGATTTCACATGGGGGTCTGTGGGTGCCCACTTTGGTTGCATCCATGGCTTGCCTTTTATGAACAGACAAATCTGCTGCTGATTTAATAAAGTTATCTCTGTTCTTCAGGCAAGACTCGAAAGTGGTCCAACGAGATGTAATCCTTGCCATCTGCTGTAGCTTCACTGTATGCGACCTTTATGTAGGCCATACGCAACTACATTGAGACACACACCAAGACAGCACTAAGTCTATCTAAATCTCTCTCTAACTTAACACAGAACCATCTCTTACATACTGACATAAAGAACATGACTCTGTTAAGAGTAGGTCACTCAAGTGGGCACTCTTTTTTCTTCAATTCTTATTCTTATTCTGTGTTCTTCCTTTTTTTTCTTCAAAATGAGCCACAGTGTGGGGATGCCCTTTAGGTCACAAGTTATCCATCTTTTTGACCCAAATGTCAAGACTTAATCCTTGAAAGGAGGATTTCAGAGGAACCCGATTATCTTGGCAAATGGTAGTCTGGTTAGGATGGAAATTGTAAAGTAAATACATACTTACATACTTTCTTCTTGTTACTTTTCTTATGTCTCTAATGCACTGTGCTTTCATGAATGGGAATAACCATAGTCATTCCTCATTCTTAAAACAGAAATGTTTTAAGATGGTGACTCAGGGACAACGGTAGCTCATTTCAGTCAGATCCACTCACCCACAGGTTGAATGAATGGTTTGTTGATGTGAAGTGCTTTGAGTGCCTTGAAGATACAAAAACACTATATAAATGTGACCAATGACAAAGTTAGGACACTGCTACTGCACTAGAAAACTTAGTTGTTGTACATATTTTGAGTAAGCCCTCTTAGTGGGCCAAGGCTAAAGGCCTAGAGTAAGGTTGAGTTGAATCTGGTTGGTAGGATTCCCCAAGCAAAACCCAAGCACAGTAAGAACAAACGAATAAAGGATGTAGTGCCTTGATAAAGAGTGAGGTGGAGAGGCTTTTGGGTGAGTAAAGAGCATACAGCTGTATCTCCCCCTTCCTCATTAAGTCAGTCAAAGTGACAGGAAGACTTATGTAACTCCCACGAGATGGAGGGAGGAGATGGAGAAAGAGGAACAAGAGCTGGATGAAAGCAGGAGCAGCTGTGAAGCAGGATACATATGCACAAGTGAAGAATTACGAGGCGTGTTCACAGATAAAATATGAAAATGCAAGACCTAAGACAATTAAACCAAAGAAATATGAGGCTGGGTAGATAAAGGGTAGGGTCCCAGATAAAAAGCAATTGTAAGATCTACGATGCCTTTTAGTACTGCTCTGCTGGCTTTACACTTTTCATTTGTTTTGTGGAGAGATTAGTAAGAGGATTAAGAGAGTGATTCGTCCCGCTCCTCATTCCTGCAGTCTCCCTCCTCTGTGCACTGCACACCGCACATGGAACATCAAACACTACTGGTGGTACATATGTAGTGAAATGAGACAACACCTATTACTGTGTCTTTGTTTGATTTAGGCTTGTTGGTATTCACTTGGTGTCAAAGGTAGAAGGAAGAAGAAGTACTGAAATATAAAGTATGTAAAGACTGCAGTTCGTCTCAGAAAAAATATATTGGTTGAAACAATGTGAATTTCAGTGCCTCCTCTGTTTGCATACCTACCCACATCTACTGTAAATAGCAGTTACATTTGCCTCAAGATATGCTTGAAATTAAAGCTCCCTCCTATTTTGAGCTGAATATCGTGTCAATGTGACCATCATATAAATCTATATACATTATATTCTGTTGCTTCTGTGAATTCTGAGACTTATTACAATAAAGTGCTTTATACATTTGTACTGCCCTGCTGCATTTACTGTCTATGCAGCATTTGCGTTTTTTGTGAAGTGGGGCGTAGGGTCAGTGTGTATCAGATGTTGCCAAATGTATTTCACAGCACAGGCAAGACTGGACACATTCTCACAAAGATTAAATGTTTTATTATTGTGAGAGCCTATTGTTAAATGATAAATATTTAAAATTTGTAGTAGTCATTCATTTACCTTGTGTACTTTTTTTTTTTTTTTTTTTTGGCAATAATGGATTTTTGTTATTTTAGTTGCAATACAACAAGGTTTAAGCTGTAGAGGGTTGAATAAATACTTCTATGGCTAATTATTGGTTCTTTCTGCTATTTAATTGTTGAAACTGAAGCCTTTAAATTATACTGTCTATCTTGCATTCTTTTCATTGTGTCAGTGGCATAAAGAATTTGCAATATCATTGTTTGTCATTACATTTCTCTGCAGAAATCGTGCTTCAAAAAGTGTTATCATGACAGGCCTTGTTGGATGTACAGATCAACATCTAAATTGTTCCTAAAAGGCACATGTACTTCCAGTGTCTATAACATGCAAGTATAATGTGCCACATTTCCACACCTTGTGCCCATTCACACAGTTCTGCTCCAGCTGCTGAGGTGCTCTGGCTATGGGCCAGTGAGGTGGGCAGGCCGCTGGGCAGCTTGGGGCTCTCTGACCATGTTTGCCAGTGCATCTGCTCACTGTGTTCAGCCTCTGCTCTGTCACATACCTCTGCATTCTCTCCTCCGCTGTCTATGCATCTTCTGACTTATCCTGCTGCCATCTGTCTACATCACTTGTTAACTTCATCTCTCCTTTTTCTCTTATGATCTATACCCCCTTTTTCACCAGTGCTCCCATTTCACTCTCCTTCTCTGAACAGCTTAGAATCTGTCCCTCTCTCCCTACCTCCTTTTAAACAGCAAAAAGCAATTTCTCTCCCTTTGTCAGAGCGCCTGGCGGTAAGCCCTTAAGTAGGGATTTTCTGGTTTGGCTGGAACGCCATTATGCGAGCTGGGTGTGACGTGCCGTGACTGACGTGCAGAATCTTTTTGATGTCATGATGTCACAATCCAGTGGAGGCCGTGGTTATGATATTGTTGGCGTTCTGAGGACGAGGGGCTTTAGTGGTCATGTCAGGAGTAAGTCTTTATAAATCCTTTATGGCACAGTAATATTAAGCTCCTTTGGTTGTACAGGACAGAGAGAGAGTGAGCACAGAGCCTCAAAGAGATTGCATTCAAATACATTCATAGGTGGATTTACTGTAAAACATCATTGTGAGGATATGTTTTCCAGTAACAACCATAAAAACCTGTGTCTTTGCAGCTGCTCTAGGTCTGTTAAGTTCCACAGTTAAAGATGTCAACACATGATCTCTCACATTAACACTGGAAATATCCGCTACTGATCCTGTGTTTATTGTGGACACAGGGAGATGTGTGGTTGTGTCAAATGTTCTATCCACTCTGTCACCTACTAAACTAACAAACTAACCCCCTAACACTGCAGTAATAGAATATAGGTATCAACCCTAGTAGTCTATTGAGGCTTTAGCTACTTGTCTGACCAGCCAGTCCCTTCTACATTCTGACTGAACTCAGAAGGGACTGAGACCGGTGTGAAAACCTCTGTTCAAATGATCCAACCACCTGCTAATTTGAAGCACGTCTCTCTCAAATGCGGAAGACATCTGCTCTCCAAAGTTCTCATTCAGAACAAAAAATATAACTTATTTTACCAGAGATTTTCCCCCCTTTTTTACATATAAACTGCCATGTTTGTTTTTGATGCAACAGACCATGCATCTCTGATTGGTTAATCCATCTGTCAATCACATCTTCTGAAATCAGGGAGACACTATATGGCTCCATATCTGCTCATCTTTGTAAAGTTTTGGTTCTGCCTTGTCAGGTAACATAGCTACTGGTCTGATGGTAAAAAGCAAAATGTTCTAATACCAGCCACAATGAATCTGTTTGTAATGGTGCATTATTTCTTTGCTATTGCAAGACTGAAATCAGGATCAGGAGTGTTTGTGTCTATCAAGATCCTGGAATAACCCTTTGTCAATTCTGTGTTTCCTCAGCACCTCCCAGGTTCACACGGACCCCGGAAGACCAGACAGGAGTCCAGGGGGGCGTGGCCTCCTTTGTGTGCCAGGCCACCGGAGAGCCACAACCCAAGATTGTTTGGAACAAGAAAGGCAAAAAAGTCAGCAGTCAGAGATTTGAGGTACAATACTCAACAACTGTTATTTTTGTCAGTGGTGGAACTCAATGAAGTAATAGTAGCTCAGTATACATTTTTGGTGTCTGTACTTTACTTAAGCGGGTATCTTTACTTTAATTAAAGCCTTTGTTTAATTTACAACAAATAAACAAAGGTTGATTCATTTATTTCTGTTGGACAAAATTCTGTACAAATGTGTGTCAAAATACTTGTAGTTTTCACTCTGTAAGTACATTTTTAAACATGTACTTTAATACTTTTACTTGAATAGTGGAACTTGCTCCGGTATCTGTACTTTTACTTAAAGGTGCACTGCACAACTCTTCTAGTGAAGGATCCGCTACCCACTTGTCTCCATGGAGATGTTAATGCTTTGCTTGAAATGTTCCATGGTATGACATTAAAGATATCCATCTTGCATTTATCCAGTATGGGTGTTTGAATTGCTCAATTCCTTCTGTGAATAGGGGTGAATGTCCACAGATCTAAATTGTAATGTAGCGTAATGCTGTAACCTGCTTGTCTCCCGTATGATAGATAGTTTTAATCTCTACTGTGGAACATTATAGACAAAGCAATAACATGTCCACTGAGACAAGCGTAGAAATAGAAATGTTACGCGGTGCACCTTTAAGTAACAAAATTGAGTACTTGAGTTTTTGTGTATATTGACTGCTGCATACCCAAAATAGAGATGCTACTGAAGTGTATTGATTATGATGTAAAAAGCATTGATGTGAAAAAAGGGACCATAATTATATGTTCACTTTGTTGGTTGTGTTTCTTTTGAGGTCATCTCCTTTAGAAAAAAACTAAAAGATGAAATAAAACGGCTCACTGCTCCACTGTGGTGATATAGTGGAGGCTGACTACTTGGGCAAACAAGCATTATTAGTCACAAAGGACACCTGTTACACATATTCAGAGGCAATTTTCCACTCAGGTGCACCTTTGCCATCACCGATAATGTAATACACATTTTGTCAGCATTTTACACAAAGGGAGATGGGAGAATACTGGTAATACTGATATGAAAGAAAGTAGACATATCTTTAGGTATATGAGGAAACGTTTTGGTCTCATGCTGTTTTTAGTAGAAATACATCTGCTGTTCAAGGATTTTGGACGAAAGCTATCTATGCTATCTTTTTAAATACAATGCCTGATGCCTGTTCTTAAACAGTCTACTTTGGCCACCTGCTTTGAGAGTTCACAGTTCTGATTGGTGTCTTTTGTAAGCATCAGAAAATGCATTTATGATCTATCTCTTGTATATTAAACATCTTATATTATGCAAAATATACTCTTTTGAGCGTAAAGCCATGTTAAAATATTGTTACCTCATCAAAAACTTAGCATCACAAGGTGGAACAGTTTTGAGAGAAGAACTCGTCTTAAATATGAAGGGTTTATGTGTTAAACATGTGTGAATGAAACGAAACACAAAACGATAACTTTATAGTCTTGTGTTGTGTTCTTTGAAATCACATACACCATAGTGAATAAATGCCACATGTCTGAATTGTTTGTCCAACCGAAGAACAAACAGCATCCAAAACAATGACTTTTGATTGGGTCCCATTACTTCATGTCTCCATTTGTACTCCAAAGGTTGTACGTGGGAGTGAAGTGCTCTCACTCAGACTCTCTCATATGTCAGCCGGTGCCGTGGGCCAGTCTATATGAGGCTCCTCTATGATCGGCCTTATTAGTTTCCCCACAGCGCTGACCTTTGATTTAGTTCTCCACCTTCACAAGTGCTTCTCACAGCGAGGTGTTGGCCGCTCTCCTTTCCCTGTCCACAGGCACCCAGAGCTAAAGGTGCTTTTCCGCTTTAATAAGTCAGCTGTAAGTTCACCCGGCGCTATCCCAGTCAAATCACCAAAGGAGACACTTATTTTCATCCATCTGGTATAATTTACACGCTATATATTTCCCATCACTGTCCTGGCTGGCACAGCTGGCTTGAGATTTGGTGTTATTGGATTTCACTCTGCCAAAATCACCTACTAAATCAAATCTGTGAATATTAAATGTCTCATTTTATGCTTGACTTTTTAGCTCTGAACCATGTTATAATGGTCTTTTGTGTTTTCTCATTAGTGCTTTTATTCACGCACGTTTGAGTAATCCAGTAAGGTCAGGGACTCTCCTTCTTAATATCAGTAAAAACTTCTACCACAATCTAAAAGTAATATAAAAATATTTCAAAGATTTATAATGTGTTTCTGACAATACTTTTTATTTATTTTTTAAATATAGATTTAAAGATACATTGTGTAACTTTTCTGGTGGCGGGTCAGTGAAATACTTATCTATTTCACTGACCCGCCATCTGTGGAGATGTTATTGCTTTGTCTGGAATGTTTCACCGTATGGCATTAAACCTTTCTATCTTCATGGAGATCAA